ACAGCCAGGTGTGGTGATGCACACCTGTAATCCCAGCACTCAGGAGGCTGAGGCAGGAGGATTGCTGAGAGTTCAAAGCCAGTGGGGAAACTACTGTAAGGACAGCCAGGTGTGGTGACGCACACCTGTAATCCCAGCACTCAGAAGGCTGAGGCAGGAGGATTGCTGAGAGTTCAAAACCAGCCTAGGCTACAAAGTGAGCTCAAGGCCAGACTGAACTGCATAGCCAGGCCCTGTCTCAAAAAGACCAATAATAATAATAATAATTGTTATTATTATTATTATTTAAGGAGATATCTCAAACTCATGAAGGGAGTGTGAGCAACATAAGTAACCCTCCTCCCCTGCCCCAGCAAGTCTCATTTCTCACCTTCAGCTGGGTCCTGAAGACCAGTCCCCAGAAAAGCACGAGATATGGTTTTGAAAAAAGTACAGAACCACGGGGTCGTGGCTTTAACAGCTACGTATACGCAAGCTTGGGCAAGTTACTTATCTTCCGTGGGTCTCAGGCATCTCACCTATAAATTGGGCACATTCTGGCATGCCTTAACCACTTCATAGGATTGTGGCAAAGGCTAAATTATCATAATAATAACCATTCTTTTTCTATTGACTTCTATGTGTCAGAGACTATGCTAAGTGCCTTCCATACAATATCTTGATCAATTCTCACTGCATCTCTATAGAGATAGAACTACTAGAAACTCAACTTTACAGATGAGTGAATTGAAATTTAGGGAGGTAAAATCTTGCCCAAAGTCAAGTACCATCAAGTGAACAGACAGAGGAGGCATTTGATCTATGGACCCAGCATTCTTGTTCCCTGGTCTGTATTTCCACAGAGGTGGCTGACCTTACTGTCTGGGAGAAAAGCAACTGTATGCCCCCTGTGGGACTTGTGGTCTTATAGACAGTGGCAGCACTCAGCAGACAAACACAGCTCCCTCCTACTTGCCCTCAAAGATGTGCTCCAGAGGGGTAACCTTCTTCGTCCCAACTGCAAGTGCTGGTGACCATCCTGGGTGGAATACTGTTTTCCTCAAATTCATGTTCACCTGCAGTCAGTGGACTTCCTGCCCCTTGACTGTTCTCTTTACCCATAATTGCATCCTAATCAAATGTTTGGTGTCCTTGTAAGAAAAAGAAAACTGACACAGAGATAGGGTACATACTGCAGCCTGTAATCCCAGCACTCGGGAGGCTGAGGCAGGAAGATCACTGTGAGTCTGAGGCCAGCCTGAACTACACAGTGAGACCCTGTCTCCAAAAAAAAGACACATACTGCAAGCATGTACTAATAAAAATTGAACGGAAAAATACTCCCCCCGCCAAGAAGAAAAGAGAAATACAGATACAGAGGAAACCCAGGAACGTGAAGACAGAAGCAGAGATTAGAGTGACACTGCTACAGCCACAGAACACGGAGGCTTTGGGGAACCACCGGATGCTGAGAGAGTCTCTGGAGAGGCATAACCCTACAATACCATGCTTTCAGATTTCTAGCTTTCTGAATGGTAAGAGAATACATTTCCCTGACTTACAAACATTCAAGTTGCAAACTTCCATAGGAATATTGTATAAGATTCACAGGTGTGCTATGTAAGACTCACTTTGTCCAACTACAAACTCCGACTTATAAACATTCTTTGGAAATGGAACTTATTTGTAAGTGGGGGACTTACTGTATTTAAATCCAAGCAGTTCACGGTACTTTGGAAAGGCAGCCCCAGGAGGTTAATATAGTACCCACTGCCCAGTCCACCACAATCTGGAGACTAAGGGTGAACAGAGCATATTTTGGGAAACTAGTTAGATAGGCTTAGGTAGTGAGAGAGAGCAGAACGCAAGTCAGGTGTGTTTACTCATCCAGTTACACCAACTCACTTGTAGACTGCTTAGGCATGACTTTACACGCGTGTGTATTGTGTCTAGGAAGGGTGTCTGCTTGTTTTGTTCTGGGTATGAGGATGACAACTCTAGTGGGTGACAGCTGAACAGGTTGGTGAGGATTCCACCTGAGATACCTTTCCTCCCACCACTTGGCCTTTCTCTCTATCCCAAGATCTCACATGATGAAACTACGCCTTAGTTCACAGCCAGTTAATAAGAGAAGCGGAGTTTAGATCTAGAATTCTCTGGCTCCGAAGAGGCTGTCCTTTTGCTGATCTCAAGCTAGAGAAAGTGAACTCTTCAGAAAGATACAGGGTGATTCGCTTCACCCTTTATAAACATTTTCCTTAAGTTTGAAAGTAATGTTTACTTGGAAAATATTTAGAAGTTATTGCAATGTTTAAAGAAAAAGTAAAAATTATTCCTGGCAGTAATTACTAATATCGAGCAATAACAGTCTTCTAGTCTTTTTTCTATGCAAATATATACTCTCAAAAAATTTGAATGTAAATAGTTTTGTGGTTTGCTTTTTCATTTAACATTATCTCACGTCATTTGTTTTAATAAACATGGTTTTTCTTTTCTTTTCTTTTCTTTTTCTGTGGTGTGGCGATCAAACCCAGGAGCTCCCTCACGCTGGGGAAGGAGTTCTGAATCTCTACCATAAAGCTACAACCCCAGCACTTTTTTTATTTTGAGACAAGGTCTTGCTAAGTTCCCCAGGATGGCCTTGAACTTGTTATCTTCCTGCCCCAGCCTTGCCAATCCTCGGGGTTACAGGCATAAACACGATTTTAAATCACGGGGTAATGTTCCAGCATATAGATGGGCCATAATTTATCTAAGCCTTTTATTGCTTCCTTCTTAGTTTCCAGCATTTTACAATAATAAAGCAAGTTAACAATTTGCGTAAATATTTAGCCTCATTATTTCCTGAAGACAGACAGGGGATAATACTGGGAGAATGGGATGAATGTTTTAAGGCACGGATATATAATGCCACATTGTTTACCAAAAGGGTTCTACCTGCCAGCTGAATGTGCGTGCCCCGGGCAGCAGCCTGAGCAAGCCCGAGGGTCAGCACGAACAAGCCCCGCTCTATTCAGAAAAACCGGGCGCAGCTCGATCACACAGGTTGCTATGTGTTCAGAGCGCTGTAGCGGGAAGGACCCACAGGGAAATCAGTTAGGAAACCGTGGCGACGATCCCGGGGGACCTGACGGGGCTCCAGCGCAGCGGCGGGGAAAGAAGGAAACAACGCGCACCCGAGGCGCAGCTCCGATGGGGGCGGGGCCGCAGGCGCGGATAAGGTAATTCTGCGCGGCGCGGGGGGCGGGCGAGGGAGGGGCGGTGCGCGCTCGGGCCTCCCGCGCACGACCCCCGAGGTTGGCCGAGGCGCCAGCCCCTCCCACCCCTTAAACAGCGACACTCCCCTTTAAGGCGGGCGCCCGCGCGCGCCCGGCCCCGCCCTTC